AAAAAAAAAAAGCGTAGAAGGAAGAAAAGAAAAAGGGTACAGTAAGGCCGTAGAAGGCTCGTGGAGTAGAAATAGTAACACAGGATTGAGATGATAGGTCAATCTTAAACAACACTTTGAATTGTATCCAATTGGGTAGGCCCCTGTACTACATACTTGAAGGTAAATCTAAACGAAATTGTACAGATATTGAACAAAAAAATTGTAAGAAAATTGTATAATGTATGGCCAGCCTTGGAGCAAAAGGCTGGTGAAGACTACAAAAACTATGTTTGTGAAGGCTGACAAGCTGTAAGCTTGGACAGCCTGATAGTTATACAAATCACACATGGGTCAAAAAATACATTTTGTACGATTTGTAATCCGATGGTGCCAGCATTGATTTAGAAATTCGACCAACCGAGCCTTAACTTCATTCATGCTGCTACAGAAAAGAATTTTCATGGTCAAGAATTTTCTTTTCTTTCCAGGTCACATCTCATGTTGCTACAGAAAATAATTTTCATGGCTAGGAATAATCATTTCTTTTCCATTGATTTCGAACTTCAACTAACCAAGCCTTCAACTTCACTTCATGTTGCTACAGAAAATAATTTTCGAAGAATTTTCCTTTCTTTCCAGGTCACACCTCATGTTGCTACATAAAAGAATTTTTGTGGCTAGGAATAATCATTTCTTTCCATTGATTTCGAACTTCAACCAACCAAGCCTTCAACTTCACTTCATGTTGCTACAGAGAAGAATTTTCGTGGCCAAGAATTTTCTTTTCTTTCCAGGTCACAGCTCATGCTCATTTATTTTTATTTATATTTCTTGCACGATTTTGCCATCATTGATTAGAAATTCTTTCACTTTTCAAAATATTCCAACAGGCCTGATCACTCAAATTCAATGGTCGCTCAAAAATCGTCCATTGCCATGGCCCACTAATGGTGTGAAATTTGAATGAAAATTCTTAGAAAAATATATTTGAAAGAAAATTCTTTTGGAATTCGACTCATGTATGGCTGGCTTAAGGATTGCATTTTGTGTAGTTAGTGCCAGGACATGGCTAGGATATTGTTTTTTACATTTATGAACTGTTTATTTTTGGAACACTGTATGACACCTACTGTATATATACTTATAGCCTGTAAATGGCACCAATAAACACACCACTGTTTGCTACCATTTTACTGGACTCGGGTCTCACCCCAGGTGGCATTAGCAATGGGACAAAGATACTCTAGAGATGAATTCTGCACAAGGAACTCTACATAAAGTGAGCTGAGCATTGACCACATAATTAACACTATTGCTAAAAAGGGGAAAAACATGCCAGAGGACAGGCAAATACTGATCTACATTGCTTCTTCAACTCCCAGACCCCAGCCATCTATACCACTCAATAAGGAGAGGTGGTGGTGACAGTTAGCTCTCTATTTACTTATTTTTTATTTCAGGTATTTATACAACGCTGTCAATTTATGCAGTGTTTTACATACAGTATATTGTACATTCACATCAGTCCCTAACCCTCAAGGGGCATACAATCTAAGGTCCATAACTTACATTGATACATACAATCTAAGGTCCCTAACTTACATTCATACATACACATACTAGGAGCCAATTAACCTACCAGCATGTTTTTGGAGTTTGGGAGGAAACTGGAGTATCTGGAGGAAAACCATGCAGGCACAGGGAGAACATGCAAACTCCAGGCTGGTGGTGCCGTGGCTGGGATTTGAACCAATGACCCTAGCACTGCCAGGTGGAAGTGTTAACTATTTAGCCACTGTGCTGCTCTCTAGAGCATATGGCCTCCCAACAGTCTAATATCAGGGATCCACAACACTCTCCCTCTCCTTTAGGGTTGGGCATTGGAAGGAATATCTCAATAGTATGAATCCAGACAGCCTCCAGTGCAGACTCCAACTCTACCCACCTGCCAGTGATGAGATACCTGTCCTATTTCTATTTCTACCTCGAGACAATATTTTGAATCATTGGCATCTTGCATTGTGAATGGGGTGCATAAAGATACACAAGCAATCTGGGAATTTGGTACCCAACTTGAGGACAATGGTCACTATTCACAAAAGCAGATCTCATGCAGTATTTATGTGATCTGACACAATTTCCCTATACATCGCATGCGATCCTGAAACTGTCAATTCACTATACGGTTCTGCGTTATTTACCGCAAAACAGTCAAAATGCTCAGTAAATATCATATAAAAAGGGGTTAAAGTCAATTTATGAAGGCGATAAATAATTAAATGCAAGAGGAAATTAAGTAGTGGTCCAGGCATGTGGTAGCTAATGAATGTTTTGGATTTTAACTGTTTTTTAAGGAGCTGCCAGCGTCCTTAACAACCAGTTACTGTTGTGACATCATCAACCCAACATGCCCGGGTGATGACATCAAAATGGGGTGGGGCAACCTGATGAGGTAATCGGGCGACCTGCCCCCTAGTTTATTTAGCAGCACAAGATGGCAGAGCTGTCATTCAGCGGCAGGCTTCGACGGGTGCAGGACCTCTTTTTTTTTCAGGGTCGGCGTCCAGCGTCTATCATAACTGATGTTGGGTCTACTTCGGGGGAAATTTATTTTTGTTTTCTTGGGGGGTTTTGAATAAAGATCTTGTCAAAAGTGTTGTGTTTTTACTCACTTTTTCCACTTTTTTGGTGAATGAGTAGGGGTACAATGTACCCCATACTCATTCACATTGGGGGGCGGGATCTGGAGACTCCTTGCTAAAGGGGGCATCCACATTCTAATAAGCACCCCACCCACAGATTTCCACAACCACAGGGTCAGGGTTGTGGGGAAGAGGATCTTGTTCTCATGAAGATAGGGGTAAGGTGCTTTGGAGGGGATCCTCCCCCTGCCCCAAGGCACCCCCCCATGTGGCCTGATATGGTTTGGGGAGGACACTCGCTCATCCCTCCCTTTCCTGGTCTCCCATGCTGCATGCTCGGATAAGGGCCTGGTATGGATTTTGGGGGGGGGGACGACGACCCTCAGACCATTATTTTTTTAAATTTTGGCATGGGGTTCCACCTAAAATCCAAAGCCAAAAGGTCTGGTATGGATTGGGGGGGGCATGCTGGGTTTTATTGGCAAATTTTTAAATGCAGTTGTTTTGTTTACATTCAGCTGTCAGCGGAGAACCCCACTGACAGCTGATGACTAATCAGGTGTTAAGGACACGGCACCTAAACAACACGCTATTTACTACTGTTTGTTAAATACTCCAGCTGCTGTCGAAGTTAAATTACTGCAAGTTTTCACTTCTAAAATTCTGCATCACTTCATAAAATAACTCATGCGGTATTTTAGTAGTGATTTTCTGTGAATTGAAAAATAACATTTTAAAACACTGTGCGGTATCTTACCACATACTCAGATGTGGTAAGATACCGCTTGGTGAATAGAGCGAAAAGTCTCAACTGTCATGACAGAGATACTACTATTATGCAGCGCCTTACCAACATCAAACACAGTCGATCTCAGCAAGACTGATATCCCTCCTGCACCAAGATCACATTCTGAATCGGAACAGGAGGAATAACAAAAATCCAAATCCAAATAAATATCTCAAACAACAGCAAATACAGATAATAAGGCTACAGTAACAAGAATCAACAAGGGGCAAACCTCACTTTTGGCCAATTAAAACTGATTGGGTGCACAGGATCAACATGCCTGGAGGTGAAGTGAGGACTTTCCCCAGAGATGAACTGTGCAGAATTCATATTTTCACACTCAAAGAAGAAGAAACAACACAGAAGGCTTGGCCCAAAAGGCTGTGCAGGGGAAATGTGTCAGGACAAGTCTGATTATTGGAGGAGAGCAGGATGAGTCCTTAGCGTGCTAGAAAACTAACCACAGTTTGTTCTCATGCTTAGTGTGGTCAGTACTCATTAGGAAAACAGGGGGATTAGCAAGAACACTACAAAGGAAGTACTACAAAGGGAACAGGATACTTTCTTTAAAGTATATGTGAACTCTTACCTTGTAAAACAACCTATTCAGTCTGAAATAGAAATGAAAGGCAAAATGTGAATATATATATATATATATATATATATATATATATATATATACACAATATAAGGGGCCTGGAGAGGCGGGGGTGGAGTAACAGAACACTCAGTTATCACTGGCTGGATCATCAGAGGGCATGCATGCTGTTCTCCCAGCACAACCAGAAAACTGACCACACTATGTAGGATGTGCTGCTATGTGGTGCATCTAAAATAAGAGAGCAGGGAGGCTGGCAGGATCACCGGGTATTTCACACAGAGGAAGTAAAGAGAACAGTAATCTTTTTAACACAAATCCATGGTACAAGAAACACATATCAGGAATATGAATGTTGGGGTAGCATATTAAATACAGAAGAGTGCAAAACAGGTTTTCCTTACACAGGGAGAGAAACCATTTAATGCGAAAAGGTGACCCTCTTTTCAGATTTTTTATACTAAGAGAAATATGAAGGTTTCCATTTTTGACAAGATGAGGCTGCTGATCGTTTATTGAAAATTCTTTTTGCCTGTCTGTCTTGCTGATCCTCCAGAATTAATACTTTCTGAGCCACTAGCTAGGGACAACTATGCAGATCAGAAATTATGAATTTCTTTTGAATTCAATTGCTGTATACTTGTTGTAGGACACGGACAAAAAGTATTGGTACCAGGTCAACAACTGCAGTCTTTTGAATCCAACTAAGGCCTTGTTTACACAGGTATACTAGAGCATAGTACCTGCATGAGGGCCATGTTTGCCTACATAGGGATACACAGGTGTTCAGTGCATCCCCATGCAGGCAGTCCCATTCATGTCCTTTGGGATGCAGCAGCAGTATGGACACAGCCCCTGACCTGGTATTCGACAAAAGCACTTTAACCACTTCCCAACTGCCCTAGAGCAGAACTACTGGCATAGGGCGGCAGGGCTGCTCAAAATCGTATATACGTGATTTGCATTCCTGGGTAGGGGGGCGCGCGCCTCCCTACCCACGCCGCCATTGGTGGCTACAGCTAATAATCACCAGGTCACGGCCAGAGATTCCCTGCCGGCACATGGTGACAGCCGAGGAACACTGACAGGGGAGAGGTCTGTATGTAAACAATACAGATCTCTCCCCTGTCAACACCAGCATGTTGCTTTGTATTGCTGTGCATAGCAGAGCAATACAAAGCAACATGATTACATAGAAAAACACACAGAGGCCACATAGCTAAACAGCACACAGCACACAGTTAACCCTTTGATCACCCCAGATGTTAACCCCTTCCTGCCTAGAGTCATTAGTACAGTGTCAGTGCTCTTTATTAGCACTTATCACTGTATTAGTGTCATTGGGGATGTCAGTGGCAGTTAGTTCCCCCTCAGTTTCAGAGTGCCCACCACAGTCCCGTTATAATTCGCTGGTCGCCGCCATTACAAGTAAAAAAAAAAAAATTCCAGTATATATACCACCATTTGTAGACGTAATAACTTTCAAGTAAACCAATTAATTTACATGTATTGGGATTTTTTTTTTAGCAAAGACATGTAGCAGAATACATTTTGGCCTAAATTTATGACGAAATTTGTTTTTTTCAATTTTTTTACTGGATATGTTTTATAGCAAAAAAGTAGAAAATATTGTTTTTTTTTCAGAATTGTCGGTCATTTTGGTTTATAGCACAAAAAATAAAAAAATGCAGAGGCGATCAAATACCACCAAAAGAAAGCTACATTCGTGGGGAAAAAGGACATATATTTCATGTATGTACAGTGTTGAATGACCGTGCAATTGTCAATTAAAGTATCGCAAAAAATGGCCTGGTCAGGAGGGGGGGTAAATCATCTGGAAGGCAAGTGGTTAAGCAGGTTGATCACAATGATCGAACACTAGGTCTCAGGAGGTGGCCATAGCTGTGGTAGGATTAGATTCCAAACACCAAACATGATAAAGTCCCCTTGGACAGTACTTGGGACTATATGGGGATGGAGGGTGGTTGGCATTAGCATATATATATAATAATTTAATCATGAGGAGCAGCAAATGTGTGTGTTTTTCTCTTTAGTATTAGAGTGCGCCTTTTGGTCTGATGCACATCATACTCCACAAATATTCACATACTGTTTTCCTGTTACCTGAGTCTCTTCTCCAATACTTTGTTGCATATTTTCTTTCACGTCTGTATTGCTTTCCTGGTCAATCTCTTCAGTCTCACTGACAGATGCTAGACTGGACATCAGAGTGGAGCTTCTCCTGGAAGTGCCAGTAATATGTCTATGCAAAAAAACAAACATTCCAGATTAGCTATATGTTTTGGTTATTATGTTTTATGTATTCCTTAACCACTTTCAGACTGGACACTTTCACCCCTTCCTGCCCAGGCCAATTTTCAGCTTTCAGTGCTATCAAACTTTGAATGACAATTGCGCAGTCATGCAACACTGTACCCATATAAATTTTTTAGCATTTTTTTGAGACAGATATAACTTTCTTTTGGTGGTATTTATTCACCACTCGGATTTTTATTTTTTTGCTATATAAATAAAGAAATCCAAAAATTTTGAGAAAAAGTATTTTTCTTATAAAAGTTTGCAAATAAATAATCTTTCTTCATAAATCTTGGCCAAAATATATTCAATTATATTTTTAGTAAAAAAAAAACAACCTAATAATAATTTTTCTAAAATGTTTTTTACATTTTTATTTTCTTTTTTTATATTATTATTTATGTTTTTTTGGGGTTTTTTTTACATACTGTCGCCCTAGCAGTACAGTGTCACCATAGTGACACTATACTACTTGTGGGGGGTGATGAAGATTTTTTTTTTTTTCACTGATTGCTGTTACACCCATAAAGTCTGTAAAAGCAATCATTTCTCCTTCTCTCTGGCTGCATTCTTGCAGCCATTGAGAAATACTGTGAGAGCTGTGATTGGTCACAGCTTGTCACATGGTTCAAGGCTGTTGTGAATAGCCTTGTACCACGTGACCTCTTTGATCATTCACAGATTTCACTAGCAGTAAGCAATGATGTTAGAAAGTGACATCTTGCTTACTACTATTCATGTGATCACTGATTGGCCAATCAGTGATCACATGATCGGGACCTCACACAGAGGTTACATACAGCGATCGCGGTGTCGCGCAGTCCCAGGAAGCGCGCACAGGCTGTAAATGCGGATGCCGTTTATGAATGGCAATCCACTCCTGCACTGCTCCCGTTGGCCCGAGTGGTTAAAGCTGAATTCCAGGTATTGCTATTTTTGTAGAGTTACATTGGTTGAGCTTGGGCCAATGTAACTAAGCATGTGTCAATCCATGAGGAAGTGGAAAATCACTGTAGTAGGCACCGCTACACAATGGTTGCCCCTGGTTTCCAAGTCCTGTGCCAACTCGCTGCTCTGCTGCTTAGTGAGCACAGGATGTTGCTCACTCAGCATGGGCCCATTCACAGAACACTTTGCATTTTCTCAATGAACGCAAAACATTCTCTGGTTGAAGTGGAGATCAGGTTGTCACTGGCCTACCCCTCCAGCTCATCCAAGCAGTCCACGGTTTGCATGGATAAAATAAATGCAAAGTGTTCTCTGAATGGCACCCATGCTGAGCGAAGGACCTCCTTTGTACACTATGCAGCAGGGCAGCCTCTTGGAACCCAGAAGCTAGCTACACGCACTACAGTAGTGGTGTCTACTACAGTTATTTCCAGCTTCTACAGGGATAGGCCAGGTATAGCACATACATACTTCCATTGGTTCAAGCTAGACCCATATGCAGCCAGGTATCAGCTATATCATTATGTCATTCAGGGACATTTACAGGTAGGAATATGATGAATTATTTTCTCCCTAGTGCCCAGTACTGGGACTGCTACATCATTTCCTGTTAGCAGAGTGGATCCAGTTGTTCTGATAGCAGAGGATCTTGGTATCTGTAGTCCTATAGCCAATACATACTGTATTCCTGAGTGCTGAATGAACTACAACTACCAGAGGGTTGGCAAATGAGGCGGTTGCTGGGAAAGCAGATATATTCTACAGCAAGGGACTGGCTCACTCTCTTGGCATGGGATTCAGAGCTAAACACAGGATGACTGAGGTTCTCCCAAGACAGATTGCTGACCTACTGCTGCGGGACTCTGCACATCAGTTCAGCACAGCAGCGATGCCGATCGCCACAATGGGATCACATTAGCTTCTCTGCATCGGGACTGTCACTATCTGGTCTTCACACAGGCATCTCTGCTCACTGCGCTGACAGGCTGCCAAGTGGTAACTCTGCAAATCTCTGCAAAGAGCCAAGAGCCTGAGCAAGAGCTCTGTACCTAAGAGGCCATGCTATCCATTGGATTGGTGAGCGGACTGATGCCCAAGCTCTTTTTGTCATCATTCTAGAGACACTGCATGCAGACACCTTTACACCTCAGTCCTAGGAGATCTTTGCTTTGAGTAGTGCCACACCCTGTTTAACTTCATTGAATTACCAGTATTCAGTAATGTTTATGGGCCCCACCATTGCTAGGAGAAGGCAACGAATACCTCCATATCAGGAACTTTATAAATCACATGACTCAAGTTGCAATCTCTAGTTAAAGGGACCTCTTTTCTTTTAGGGCCATTGTTATTCAAACTAGGGTACTAATTATGCCAGAGTTTAAATTTACATAATTCTCTGCATCCTCATTGCAGTGCTGGTGGCTCAGAAAGAGCTGAAAAGTCAACATGCCTTTTCTGCAACCTCTTACTGCTGATGCTGCAATTAAATAGTTGAAGCTTACTACTCATTAATGTATTTTCTGTTAAACGTTGCTAATTAATTATTCCTATTTTATCAGTGTCCTGCTTTTATGTGTTAACTGGGGTTGTATATCCTAAACCCACTATTCCTGTGCTCTGCTCTTTTGAACAAGTCATAATAAAGAGGTGTTACTAAAGAATTGTGTCTCCTGCATTATTATTCTATACTGTTGAAATATGCTTGAACCCAGAGTGTCAGAGGGTGTATCGCTACACATGTAACTAAGCAAATTTAGCCATGCCCAGAATTCAGCTTCAAAATGTCACAGTGATACATTCTCTTTTTGAAAAGCAGTATCTATAAATAATAAAGCTATACATATTTATGAACAAACTGCATTCTGAAATGCAACTCAATCCACATGTATAGCTGTACCAACATTAATAACTAAAACCAAAAGACAAGTGTGCCTGCACTCGCCTAGTTTGTTGGAGAACAGTTGTTTGTCTTAAAAAAAAAGTAGAGCGCTGGGAACTGCTGTTGTTTTACAGCTGTAATGTGATCACCACCAATTGGTGATATACAATACATACAGTATAAAATACCATGTGGACCGCACATAAAGTGCATTAAATTTGACAATACATGAGTAATAATGCTTCACATATACAAAGTAAATAATTGTAACATTCAGTCCCAATTCGGAAAAATAAAAGTGCCCAAGTGTTGAATACTAATTGGTAAACTTTGTGCAAAAAATAACAGGTGCTCCTCTGTGCTCAATCCGTTCACCACATAGATGTGCACTCACCGTTAGCCATGGACCACCTATCTCTAGGTTGGTCTTAAGTGCCTGGTTTGGGACTAGCCCAATGTGTGATGGTAAGAATGGCACCAATATTCATTTTTAAACTTTCTCCTCTCCTCCCAGGCAGTAAACCATGTTTCAGCATGTGAACAGAAACAAAAGCAAACATTCCATAGTGTAAAACCATAAAAAACGTTAATGATTCCCAGGAATGAATATTGGTGCCATTCTTGCCATCACGCATTGGGCTAGTCCCAAACCAGGCGCTTAAGACCAACTTAGAGATAGGTGGTCCACAGCTAACGATGAGTGCACATCCATGTGGGGCACCGATTGAACACAGAGGAGCACCTGTCATTTTTTGCACAAAGTTCACCAATTAGTATTCAACACTTGGGCACTTTATTTTTCCAAATTGGGACTGAATGTTACAATTATTCCCTTTGTATATGTGAAGCATTATTACTCATGTATTGTCAGATTTAATGCGCTTAATTTATGCGCAGTCCACATGGTATTTTAGTGTTATTGGTTCACAAATTAGGACTGTAGGGTATATTTATCAAAGTTGCATGAATATTTATTCCTAAGCGCAACAGCACTATATTTTATTTAATATTTACAGCATATATTTTTTTTTCCTGAACTCTTTTTTTACCCATATAATGGTTGTATTTTGTTATACCTACCCTTCAGATGGCACAGTAAGTGGATTTAGTCGAAAGTTCAGAAAAGGTGTGCTGATTTCTACAAACTGGTCAGGTTTCTTTTCTACGTGCTCTGTAATTGAAAATAGAACAATAATTAATTCCTCTAAAAACAAAAATATATTTACATAGCTTTATTTCATTTTTTGTAAAAGCACACACCTCTATCCTGTATAATAACAAATGAATGAAAAACTATAATGCAGTAAAATTAAATGCAAAAGTAAAAAAGAAGCTGATTGTTGTAAGAACAATATACAGGAAGGGACTTCTTTATGCTATTACACATTTATGATAAACTTTTTTAGATTACTAGGTCAATCGATCCAAAACATAATATTTAGTTATCGATAGATGCTAGTAGGCTAAATAACACATTAGCTTCTTCTGTCTTTCAAGGACTCTCTCAACAAGATTGCCTCACCATCATTCCTAGGTCCCTGTCTAATTGGAATCTCATTCTTCCTACTGCATTCGTTATTGTGTAAACTAAACAAAAAGTAAATTGGACATACACATTGATACTCTACACTCCCCGGCCACTTTATTAGGTACACCTGGCTAGTACAGGATCGCACCCCATTTTGCCTTCAGAACTGCCTTCATTCTTCGTGGCATAGGTTCAACAAGGTGTTGGAAACATTCCTCAGAGATTGTGGTCCATGTTGACATGATAGCATCATGCAGTTGCTGCAGATTTGTCGGCTGCACATTCATGATGCAAATCTACCGTTCCACCACATCCCAAAGGTGCTCTATTGGATTGAGATCTGGAGGCTGTGGAGGCCATTGGAGTACAGCGAACTCATTGTCATGTTCAAGAAACCAGTTTGAGATGATTTGAGTTTTGTGACATGGTGCATTATCCTGCTGGAAGTACCCATCAGAAGATTGGTACAGTGCAGTCATAAAGGGATGGACATGGTAAGCAACAAAACTCAGGTAGGCCATGACGTTTAACCCTTTCATTGCCAGGCCCTGTGCTCCACTTTTAAACTCAGCTGGCTGGACTATTTTTCCAATTTTTTATTTTCCCCTTACAGCTTTCAAAGTTTGTAAAAGACCCCCAAAACCATATATTTTCTGAAAGCACATAATGGATAGAATAAAAGAAGGTGCTACTAATTTTTAAGGTTCTGCGATGTTTGCGCACGTTTATCAAAGCAATATTTTTACTGAAAATTTTCAAAAGTAATTATTTTCAGATAAAAACAAAGCAAATTTTACAAATTTCCTGCTAAATATAAAAGTTTAACCTGTATTAAGTTAATAAATAACATATATTTGCACATTTTAAATTGCACTTTTTGCAAATTGGTAAAAATCTAACATATGCAAAAATGTAAATATACAAATTTCTCTAAAAATCTGGAGGTTTTCATTTTTCACTTACAGCTTTCAGAGTTTGTGAACGTCCCCCCAAACCATATATTTTTTGAAAGTTTAGGACCAGGAGAATAAAAGGAAGGTGCTACAAATTTTTTAGGCCCTGTGATATTTGTGCGAATGTTTATCAAAAAATATTTCACTAAAAATACACTAAAATCATTATTAGTGCATACATACATGGCAAAATTCCTGCTAAATTCCTACTAAATATAAACGTTAAAACTGTAGTGAGTTAAAAAATACATTTTGTGTGAAATGGGGAAAAGGAAGGTATGCAAAACTGTAAAAAAAAAACCCAATTTGCTCAAAAAATTTGGAGGTTATCATTTTTCATGTACAACTTTCAGATTTTGTGTAAGACCCCCCAAACCAAACATTTTTTGAAGACACATGACCTATGGAATAAAAAAATGTGCCATTAATTTTTTAGGCCCCGTTATAGTTGCGCAAATGTTTATCAAACCGCTATTTCCACTTAAAATACACTAAAATCATTATTAGTGGATACATGGGGGAGGCACGGATCATGGATGGGGGGGGGGGGGGGTCGGTGCTGCGGGAAGTGAAAGTAAAGTGGGGGGGGGGGGGGCAGCGGCGGTAGGTAGTGAGGCTGGAGACAGGGCAGAGAGGGAAGTAGCAGCATTCGTCGGGGGTGTTACATTTGAGGTGCATAGCTCTGATCAGCGACGTGTTAGCTGCTAATCAGAGCTATCTACTGAACAGTTTTACTATACACTCATGGTCACTTCAGTGACCATGAGCTTATAGCAGAGGAGGAATGGAAGCAGTGATGTAGGTCGGTACGCCGTACAGACCTGACAGTGAAAGGGTTAAACGATGCTCAATTGTGCCAAGAAAATATCCCCCACACTATTACACCACCACTACCAGACTGAACCGTTCATACAAGGCAGGATGAATCCATGCTTTTATGTTGTTTACGCCAAACTTTGACCCTACAGGCTGAAATCGAGACTCATCAGACCAGGAAACATTTTTCCAATCTTCTATTGTCGAGTTTTGGTTAGCTTGTGCAAATCCCAGTAGATCTGCAGTTTTTGAACTACTCAGACCAGCCCATATGGCACCAACATCCATGCCATGTTCAAAGTCACTTAAATCCATTTTCTTCCCCATTCTGATGCTCGGTTTGAACCTCAGCAAGTCGTCTTCACCACATCTAGATGCCTAAATGTATTGAGTTGCTGCCATGATTGGCTGACTAGCAAATTGTGTTACCAAGCAATTGAACAGGTGTAGCTAATAAAGAGGCCAGTGAGTGTACATCCATAACTGCTTTACTCACTGTAACCTAATCCTTGAACCGTTTCCAGAAACTGGCTATTCATTTTGTTTCCCTGGTAATCTTATAGTCCATGTGTGTTTATTTTATATTTTGTAAATTTCCTTGTCTCAATGCTTCCATCCAGCATGTTAACCTCAATAGATAAATACCAATAAAGTCCAATGGTGTTCAAATCAATGATTGTGGATAAACTGAATAGAATAGTCCCAATGTCCAATGTATAATAACTCTTCACCCAGTGATCCAGGAACAACAGACCTGTCACCTCCACCAATGGCTACAATGAAAACTCACCAGAAGATGTTGCTGTTTAGAAAAATAGCAATATAGCTTGTATGATAATAAATTCCAAAGGGACGATCCTTCAGTGTGTCAGGAAACTTGATAGTCCTCCTCATATCCCGCTCCACCAGATGTCAGTACATGCACTTTCATCCTCCAAAAACCACCAACAAATCTCTCATAGCATAGTACTTTTAATAAAGTACATATATACACAGATAAAATAGCCAATTAAACAAAGAAAGTGTGTTCACTTACATAAGGGGCCGCCAGACATTTGGAATGGCAGCACAACCTCCAGCAATGGCGCCTAACAACCCAATGCTGTTTCATGTGACAGTGTGTCCTCAGGGGTTCATAAACTAACAAACAACAGCAGCCATCAATATGTGACCCATCTATACAGATGGTCAGGCGTCATTTCCTGTCTCTGAGTCATTTTCCTGTGGTCTAAAGGAAGTGTAATTACATCACATCCGGTATTGGCGCCATTTTCTTATAGTCTTGAAAGACCAAGACACGGCTGCCATGGACTAAGGATAAAAAGCCTTATAAAGCTAAATCCAAATTACCACAAAATAAATCACCAAGGAGGAGAAACTCCAACACAGGTCAGAATTGTGGTGAGGAAGGGGTATGCTATTCAGTGAACATACTTACTAAGAATAATTTTGAACCCTTAAAAAATATCCCAGATGATGAACATGTGGGAGGTAGATATACTGGTTGGCATCCTCACAATAATAGTCATAACAGTTATAGACAGCCACCATACTCTCCTCAAAGAAGTTATTTTCCACCATATTATAAGGGCCCCAAGAAGGTTGGGTGGGAGGACAACAAAGGGTATCCCACTAATGACAATCAAGGCGGTTGGGGCTTCAGGCAATTATTACCAGTCTCAACCCTCCACCTCCTGGGGAATACAGGGCCAACAACATTCCAACCATTTTTTAGGAGTGAATCATAACAGGGAGAGAAGCATAGACCAAAAAGAGGGAGAAAAGGAGGAGGAAGAGTTAATAGAGTAAAAAAAAATGATGAATGTAAGACAATCACAGAGCATCTTTAATCTCAGTTCTACTTTTAGGAAGAGTTAATACTTAATAAGGGTTTGAAGTTTGCATAGGTTCACTAGGCAACTTAGTGTGAGAAAAAAAAGTACTTTATACAGAATCCCATTGTTCACAATAATAGAGGTGAAGTATATAAACACACTACCTTGAGAAATGCCTCTTTATTTAATCCCCTGAGTGCTGGTAATTCACATATTGGAGTCTTCAGAGATGTACTTATTCAGGGTTTAGAAAAATTGGAGGTTAGAAGGGTCAAAATGAAAAAGACAGTTATGTAGGAAAAATCTTTTGGAGAGACGGGATCTGGTAATTAGACCCGCTGATAAGGAAAGATGTATAATATCTTGGGCGATACAGAGACATATACACCTTTGAATAGAGACCCTACTACAGAGTTCAAAAAAAAGATTTAAGAAAATTAGTTAATTAGGGCCATAAACAAGGTATTTTAAATAAAAAAGAAAAAGCTTTTCTCATTCCAGAAGCCCCTTGGATACCCATTATCTATTTTCTCCCAAAAGTCCATAAGGACCCCACTAACCCTCCAGATATACCTATTATCAGTGGAATAGGATCTCTAACATTAAGAATAGGAGAAATATATAGATTCTTGCTTACAAGTTTTACACAGACTCCGGCCTATTTAAGAGATACAAAACAAGTATTGAATGAATTGAAAGATATTTGTGTACAGCAGGATACATTTTTGGTGACAGCTGATGTTGCTTACACAAACATAGAACATGCTGATTGGAGGGAGGCGGTTCAGTTTCACCTTAGAAACTCAGACATCCCTTCAGCTCAGAAGGAGTTCATTATATCATTATTACATTTTGCGATGTCACACAATTATTGTTGGTTCAACAACATGTTTTACTTGCAAGAGAGGGGGGTAAACTATGGGGGCAAAAGTTGCCCCAAATCTGGCTAATTTATTTATGTCAAAGTGGGAATATGATGTTATTTTCGATAAATAATGGGTTAGTTTACTTTTATAGAAGCAATACATTGATGATATCC